AAGATTTTTTACAAGTTTTATAAGGATTTTAAAAGGATTTTTTACAAGTTTTATAAGGATTTTTTTATTATTTTTTATAATGTGAATGAAAACCCTAACCTCCTCCCCACAAAATCTATACCCTAAATGCACAATAGTTAACCAAAACTCAAAAATTTATAGTCGTTTGTATTTTTTATCAAAACGTTTTTGATTTTTCTTCTCCTTTTGAGTTTTTCTGAGAATATTATTCTTCTTCTTTTTTCATATATCCACCAGATCTGTGACAAAAAAAATCTACCAAATCCAATCTCAGATCGGAGTCAGCAAGAATAAAATTCAGATCTAATTTCACAATTTCGAGGTCTGATTCAGAGAGAAGAAATAACTTATGTGATCTAAACATCAAATCTGATCTGATTTTTAAGAGAAGAAGAAAAAAATTATGAGTGAGATAAAATAAAAAATGATACAAAGTTACGAAAGAGAAAGAGAAAGGACAAAAAATTATGAGAGAGAAAAAAAGATAAAAAAAATTGTTATTGATTCAAGAGAATAAGAAAAAATGACAGTTTATGATGAGAATAATCTGGAAATATGCACAAAAAAGTATGGCACGCTTGTAAAAATTGCAAAAATATGACATTTTTGTAAAGTGGCATGGGACATGTGATATTTTTTAAAATTTTTCTTGAAAGAAAATCCATAAAATTTTAAAAATATAAATAAAAAATAATAATTAAATTTGTAAAGTCCCAAAATTTCTAAAATTACAAAATTCAAAAACAACAAAATAATTCCAAAAAAGTAAAATTTAACAAAATACATAATTTGAAGGTTAATATAAATATTTAATTATATTTACAATTTTAATTTCGGAAAATAAATTAATTTTTAAATTACCAAAATTTATAATAATATAAATTTTTTAAAAAAATCTAAATTTTTTTTTTTGTTTAGAAAAATAATTTATAGTCAAGATAGAAGTTAGATAATTTAAAATTCACTAGTTTACGTAAGGATAGTACCGAATGCACAAGTAAAAATATTCTCGAAATAACAAGTGTAATATATATGTCGTTTATGTATTTTATTCTAAATTATTAAAATTTATTGAATATAATTTAAACTATACTTTTTTACCAACATTTTAAAACTTGTGTTTATTTTTTGTCTAACAAATTCTATGGTTACAAAAATATAGTATAATTTTGGAACTCCATATACATTACATTTCCAATTATCTTTTAGATATTAATATTTTTTTTTAATTTTAAAAATTTGGGATTTTACAAATTCAAAATTTCTAACAAAACGAAAATTGAATCTATAATTTTAATTTTTGTCTAAAATTTAATATATTAGTTTCTTATATTTTTGAAATTTTATGGATTTAATTTCGATTTGTAAAATGTTGTATGTTTTTTGTTTTTTTATTAAATAATTATAAATTGACCCCCAAATTGATAATTATTTATCAAAAAACACTAATTTGTAGTTTTTAAGATGTTTACATATACTTAGTGTATGTCACTATATATTATATAATAGTCTGTGTAGTTTAGAACACATTTTCATACTTGGGATGGTTTCCCATTTATAGCTGGCATTGATTTTTCCTATGAAGTACTATGTTTCGTTTTCATTCTCTTCGTTTCACTCAACGTGAATTCCCAATGGCGAATTAATCACACATGACCGTTGAATTTATTTGCCATAAATAAATATTTTTTTTATCTCTTTTTAAATTATACTATTCCCATGATGTTTTAGAAAAACTTTTTTTTCATAATAAATGATATTTTTAATTTTCTATGTAAAATTAATTATGTTTTTGTTGTTTTTAACTGTTTAAATTCTGCATATTATTTTTTAAGTGGTTGAATTGTTTTGAAGTTGGTGATAAAACATTTTTTATTTATAGAAAAATAATAAACACAATGATAACCATCATATATTTAATCTCATATTATTATTGTTTGTATGTTTAGTATCTAAGAAAAAAGATAATTGATTCACCATAAAGATTTCATTTTTGTAAATCCAGTTAATTCTCCACAAATTTATAAAAGAATGATAATTGACTATGTATTAACAGAAATATATAGTAACCTGATATTATTTACAAAAATGAGAGACAAAATCAGAAAACATTATGGTTTACAAAAATTGATATTGTTTACAAAAAATGAGAGACAAAATTGATATTGTTTACAAAAGAACTCTACAAAAAACTAGAAAAGGTTAGTAAAAATATTATCCTACATCACTCAGCTGTCTCCATCGAAAGACAAAACCAGAAAACATTATGGTTTAAGTGAACATAGTATGACAAAAATCTTCCTCACAATATCAAGAAGCTTCATCTCTCTCCTCCACTCAATGTATATAGTTAAACCGGTTAACTCTATTAAAAAAAAAAAATTGACCAAACAAGCTAAGCGAAACATGTCTCTGGAAAATCAGCAAACAAGCTAAGCAAAAACATTTGTTCTATCTCACAGAAACGGACTTGGTCAGCTTGGTCTTCATTGACCGCAAGAAGAATCTCTTGACTAGTTGGAGTTACTTGAGCCACCTACACATAGAAAACAAGACAAGACACAATCAGACAGACATAAACTAGTTATAAGAACAAAATACATAAACTTGTAGTTATTGTAATAAACTAGTCATAGTAGCAGTAGTCAGAGTAGCTACCTAGAACACGCAATTCAATCATGGATTCAATAACTTGAATTCAGAAAAAGAAAAAAACACAACAAAATACACTTTCTTCTTCAATCTCAGTACCAGCAGGAGCAATATGCTCTGTTCCAGCTGAAATCTGCCATGTTCCAGACTCCTAAACTCAAAAAAATATTGGCTTGATTATGATTATTAGTTCAAAAAAGAAAAGACTGCACAAGACAGTACAATACATAATCAACTGATTATGTATTTGTTCTATATAGACTGGCGTGAATACTATTACTGGTCCACTTAGTTAAATATATGTTCGTTGTGCAATTTTTGTTCGTTTGAAGCATAGCAGAGTATAACAAGCTTGTAATTAGCAAAAACAAAGTCATGAACTAATTTCTTCACTAATCTGACCAAGCTCTTTAGTAGGTGCCATTTACTCGGTTCAGACCATCTACACAAAACAAAAATCAAGCATTTGATAATTTTTGTTTATGTCATAAAAGAAAGAAAGAACTAGACAAAGACATGTACTAACTTCATTAGTAATCTGAATAATCTGTCGCGGAAAAATCATTTGACTAAATCAACACATTACTCAAATCAAATGAAACGAATCTCTAGCCTAAAAACCTAAAACAAGAAAACGATTCGTCGAATCACACTAGTCTTATTATGTGCGCGTAAGGCTCTTGCTATTTATCAATTGGCAACATAAATCAGATTAAAACATCAGACGGTGTTTTTCATGTTTTAATCGTACGGTTTACAATGCCCTAACGTGGTTATGATATTTTGGAATCACTCCACAATATTTCCAATATTGTTCCTAAAAACATGGTCTCGTGAACATTTTTCTGTATTTTTTCCCCGTGCATTACTTATTATTCACTCTCTC